ACCCTCTTCCATTTCGATCCATAGCTTTCACAAAATTTTTCAGCAGTCCCAACTTAATATGCAAAGGTGGAAGCAACACGTTTTTGGGATCAACTAGTGGTTCATTAGCAATGTTTTTGAGGCCCGGAGTTAATACCAATATTTGGTATATCCCAGTTGCAGTCCAAGAAGAAGGGCACAAATGATTCATCCATATTTATTATAACGGATATGCTCTGACAGAACTCGCATATTTTCATATGATTCCTTCATATGAACTGCTTGCGCTATAGGGACAGAACGATATTTATTACCGTTGTGTACCAATACCGCTTTGAAACTAAGCTTACATGAGTCAATGGACAGGCGCCAAACATTTGGATCATGTTTCTGTCCTAACGCGTCAAACTAATTGTTGATATCTGAGCAATATATCAACTCTATTTCTTGGAGGAAAGAGTGTGTGAGGTCTTGTTGCCGTTTTCGGTAGAGAGTAATGTTAACATCACCGTGGAAGAGATTCCATCCTTTTAATCTTGCTGCTAAAAGTACTGACTGGGCAGAAAACGCAACTGACTTAGTTGCTATTAGTCTTCTAACAAACGCAATATGCTCTCTAAGCATAGAGCTCGCATATAATAAACAGGAGTATACAGGTCTTAATATTACATAATATGTGCGTCATCGCATAAACGCCGAGACATGCAGCAATATGAGATGTTACGTATTATAGTTCATAAATGTAGATGTTACCGAATATCTGTGGCTGATAGAGTAATTCTGTTTTTAGATTTGATAAGGGCAAAATACATGAGATACACTCAAAAATTTTCATGTCACAAATCCTGTGTTTATCAGTGTTTTAGCGTTTGGATACAAGTTGCATCGGCTCAGATATGGCGGATATGAAATGTGTTTAGGAAGCTGCAACGTCGTCTAGGCTTTCACTTACTCTAAATTGTTTCTAGCAGATACATGAAATAATACTCTTTATAATGTTTCCAATATGGCCCTTAAATAATATGAAAAAGTTTGAGCATTAATCAATGAGTTAAAACAAAATGTAAGAATATTACCTTTTTAGACACTTGTTTTATGATATCAATCCATGTCATGATTTCATTTCAGTTTCCTCACAGATTAATCGTCAGTCACTTGTAAATAAGTTGGAATAGTTGCCACATATAATGGAAGAGGCAGAGTTGTAAATCACCACTCCGTGGTCAATGGTTAAGAATTTCAAACAGCAACTTCTAAGGTCCGAGGAATGATTTTTGTTTGTAAGTTAACATCTGCTAAACATGTTGAGTAGAAGGGAGCTGGAGCTTTGAAACTTCATGGGCTTATTGTGTGGAACTTCTCGCATATTGCTATATCCAAGTTTTTGCTCAATTCGGTCGTACGTCCTAAATAAGTGAATGATTGTACGATGGCTACATCGTTGCTATAGAAGTGGTTCAACGAAAACCTTCGGACTTTGACATTTTATGATTGCTATAGATTGCTTTATGTAAAATGTATTTTCATTTACCTAGACGTTTAGTAATAGGACCAATATTGAGTTAAAGTGCAGTAGGCAAAATAACCTATGTTAAGTACCCCGTCTATGTGTAATAATTTTTTACTATGACAGGATATCATCGTCCTGTGATATTTTCATGTGCACATTGAAGGAGCTAGTGGGCCAATCTGACATACATCTTCGGTTCTATTTTTTTTATCAATTACCTTGTAAATTGTAAGCTGTTTTAATAATATAAAGATTATTATTATCTTTACTATTAGTAAATTTCATCATAATATGAACAAAATATACATCGATTCTTTTCCACGAATGTAAGGGTTTCGCCCCTATATGGTACTACGAGAACTCTCACCTTTCAAGCGTCTCCGCTAAGGCTTCTTCATCCAGCCGTGGTGAATGGCGGTTTGGAAGAAGATGATTGCGAGGTTAGGGTTTTTCGATCTCTCCCACGAAGAGATTTGCGGCATCCCCATGCCTTCTGCCTCATATTTTCCCCCATTTCACTCAAATAACTGCTATCTGATAAAAGCGGGCTGATCGGTAAGTGGTGCACACCGCACAACACGCAAAGTGACACAGTAATGCGCGTACATCGATTTCGCAAAAACGTCACTCGCCTCTCTAATGAGAAATATTGTGGAACTTTACGCCCTATTTCACTGAAGTTTATGCAGTATGTGTACAATGTGCATCCGTTTCTTCAGGAATGTGGGATTTATTATTGTAGATAATCCTTGCAATGCTTCACTTCACACGTCAATATACAAGGAAAATATTGTGAACGCGGTAATGGTCTTACAGGTATGTCCTTTGGATATTTTACAATGTTTTACATCGGGACCTGTGTCACTCACTACCATTGGTTTGCTTGTTATTTGCGATGAAATTGGAAACCGAGAAATTATGTTTTTTGTGTGTCTGACTATTTGTCATCGGGCAAATCCTGGACGTATCTACATCTCGGAAAGTAGTGCTCTAATTATGACCAATGTTTAAGGTACACCTATGAACTATTGCAAGGCTGAGAAAGTTTGATTGTCTACTGAATCCATTCCTGCTCGTTTTGACTAAAGTGGGAGTCTTGCAATTGCGAAGAATTTCTAAAGTGAAATGTTATATTTTTCGGGAGCTCTATGATACGGATATCACGTAAAACTATGTCACTAACTTCCTTCGAGCTCTAGGTCTGCCTACCGGTCTGTTTGGCTGTTCAATAATCATTGGGCCCGCTATAACTTGGAAAATACAGGCCGGATTTTGATGAAACTTTATAACAAGGTTATCGCTATATACCAATGATAGCAACGCTTTGTCGTTCTTGAGAATCGATCTAGTTGCGGTGCAGTTACAACCAAAAAACGTATGAAATCGCTCAAATTTCGTTTTCTTTTACGTTTCGGAGGCTCCTAATTATTTCAATAAAAAATTGAAAGGGATAAAAATCGGGGACTTAGGAGTTATAGGGGTAGATAAGGGTATACAAGGAGCTTCAATGGACATAGTGTGATGATGGGTAGTATGTACCGAAGCTTTTTCATATCTAAGGATAAAAGTTCAAAACTCATTTTTTACAAACATACGAGCCAAATCTTCAATATCGCATATCTCAGGACCTACTGAACCGATTTGATGAAGTGTTTTAAAATAACAAATCCACATATGAGTGACGGAAAATGGTTAAAAATGTATAGTTGGATTGGACTATTTTTAATTTTCTGTATTTTAGCAAAATCAACACCTATTCAGCTGGATCTACGAAAAAAAGCCAATGAATGGTACCTACTTATTCATTTCACCATAGTTGTTTAGTTAAAAAATGTTTTTCTTATTCAAATATATTAGTTTTTATGACATAGAACTCATAATTTCGAACGTTACCAACTTCATTCCATCTGCACCTTACAAAATAATGCTTATAGTTGAACTAAACTTATTTTGGAAAATTAAACTTTCAGGGCCAGATTCAGTTCTTTATGCTTGTATTTAAATAAGTAAATTTATTATTACTTTGCTGAAAAAGGAGCAATAAATGATACGAGTATAAATAAATGGCAACACTAATGTTTTGCAATCTATTTAGTTATTTCCGATAATCTTTTAATGGCTTAATTCTACCAACAAATGTTCTAAACCAACATGAGTTTTGCTTGAAAAAAAGAAGAAATAGAAAGAAAAGTATGTAAATCCATATAATTTGGATTTCCCGGCCAAACCGGAAATAACCTAAAAATCTAAAAAACATAGTATGCAAGCTCAGACTTCACAGGTCCTGACCTGAAGTACTTCTGTATTTTCATCATAATTTTGATGGAATAAAATCATTAAGAAATACTTGAAGGTGAACAAAATCAATTTTATCTTTTATTTATTTCATGTTTGTATTTCTTTAATGTGAAATTATAATAAATTCAGAGTACAACTTACAGTGCAGTTAAGAAAATACAGGGAAATGGTAGAAACTGAATCCGGTCCTGAATTTTCGAGTTATCTCACCATTTTTAGCCAGTTCCAAGTATTATTATGTAATATGTTGGAAACAAGTTGGAAACGTTGAAATGCTGAGTTTTACGTCACATGCGTCAAACTACAAAAAAATCAGGTATGTGAATAAATAAAGAATTTGTAGGTACCGTACATTGGGTTTTCTTATATATAGTCAAACAATCCAATATTCGACTTGAAACGTGTAGATTTCTTTGATTGACTAAAGACTGGGGTTTTGTGATCGATGGAGCTAATGCTCATCGTTTGATGTTAGAAGATCTAGAAGGACTTCTATTTTTGGAAACTGTATCAATCTGTTTGACTTTTAGTTTTAGCACATTGCTCTGCTTTTGATATACAAACACTTACATGCATTTCCGCTAGGACCACTGGAACTCATTCTGATACATCCGACTTAGAATCAGTGGAGATAATAAAAAAGCATCAAGCTTTCAATTGGCTAAAATTGGTGATCATATTTTACATTTAGATTTAAAAAACGAATATCGCGATATTATTGTGGGCATTTCTGAATTTCGCGTAACATGTTTTTTTTTTCATCTTCTGACGCTTAACTCACTAAAATCTTCGGACATTTTTAAGAAATGGAATGGGGAATCATGTAATACCTCATTTTGACGCTAATTTTGGTTACTTTATAACCCTAAGATATTAAATCGATATTTTAAAATCATGGACTGGCAGGTGTTTACAGTTCAAAGTGAACTTATACTGTAAATCTATTAAGTGCTAATAAGGAGCTTCAAAACAAGATGTTACATGGCCTCTCATTTCATTAATCAAATGTTCCAAAATCGGACCTAGCAACCATCATGAAATTTTTGGCTTATCATCTCGAAATTCAGCTTGCTAACTTGACCTGTTAAGAAATGAAGTAGGAGGGACCTTTTGGAAAAGTAGCGTACAACAATCTAATGCTGATGCCCTAAGTATTGAGAAAAGACTTCCACCTAATCCAGTTATTCTTTCCAGGTGTGATGTGCACTCGGCAATGGACGTTCTGCTGAGCACCGCGTCAATAATGAACTTGTGCTTGATCTCCCTGGACAGGTACTGGAGTATCACCCAGGCGATAGAGTACCTGAAAAAGCGGACGCCTGCTCGTGCGATACTCATGATTGGAGCCGTCTGGATACTCTCAGCGCTCATCTGCATCCCTCCGCTGCTTGGCTGGAAGGTGGAAAGGACGCCGGACGACCGATTCCCGCAATGTCAGGTGAGTTCATTTCAACACACTTGACCAAGTGATCTAATGCGCTGTCGATATACCACACTCTACTTCCTCTGAACTTCATTCATGATTCCACCACTTGTAGGTCCTCCAGATCATTCCACTCAGCCTTCCCTGTCACATTATTTCAGTTTGGTCGTATACACTTCAGGTATATATGGAACTGGTTAGTAGAATCGTTCCTCGAATAAAATGTGCTTATGTCAAGGGTCTCGGAAAGTGGGGCTGCTCATTGTATGATGGACAGAACGCACTTTATAGTTTAATTACTTACAATCGGTAGACTGAATGCGTGATTACTGTCATTCGTTTCTTTTTCTGAGTTGGGAATTATTTTAGTCATCTCATTACCCCACCTAATATATCAAAAAAATAATTTTCACCTTCACACTATATCCAGTTCATATCATCAAAAATGGTGGCTGCAGAAAAAAAACGCCAAAATATGAAATAATTTGCATTGCAGGTAGTCTGATATAGTGTAACCGAATGTAGCGTCTGCATCTACATTGTACATGATGTTCCATACTGAAATGGACATAGTGAAATGGTAGTAATATGGATGGAGGCTTTTGCTTATTCGAAAAAAGAAAGATTCTAAATTCAGTTTTTAGGGACATAAAGGGTTTATCTAATCACACCTAATCTTCGATGAAATATTACACGACAGCCAAGCTGCCTAAGTGTAACGTAAAACTAGATGGGCGGTTGAAAAATCCAGCACCAGACGCGGCTTTTTTCACTTTATAGTTTTTTTTATCAAAACATCCTTTACGCTGAATATTGAAATGATTGACTATGTGCAAAAAAAATTATTTATCCAAATATATTATTTTTAGCAGCTTTATATTCTACAGAGTTGTGCTCAAAATATTTTGGGGACCAAATTTAAAGTGTCGGATCTAGTTTTCTCATTCCCCTGTATTTAATCAAGTGCAAAATACACCCAATTGACTTTTTTCGATAACTCTTTTAATGATTTAATAATGGCAATTGATACTGTAGAACATGTGTTCCGGATAGAAATGGAGGTGGCATTTAATTTGCGATTCCGTCAAATCTGACTTTTCAGACCGACTTGAAATTGCGTTAAAGACACACACAAGAATATAGCATGCAGGTCCAGACCTGAAATTGAACTGTGCCTGTACCTTATGTTGTATAGGATCAGTAGCTAGAACCAAGTCATCAAAAAATCACTAAAAAAACTAAATGAACTGCGTAACATACATTTTTCCATCAGGTATTGCTCCTTTTTCTGTGAGATAATAAATTCACGGTATAGTTTACTCAATACAGTACAAGAAAGTAGATCAAACTGAATGCAACCCTGACATTCTGAGATCCAAAAAAGACTTCAGTTCGATTCTAAACATCGTTTTGTGAAATGTTGATAGTGCCTGAAATTTTTAGTATTGTGCCACATAAACTACTATAAATAAGATATTTGAATAACTAAACCTTGTTAACTAAAGAAACAAAACGGGCGCTATCAATCTAGTCTGCTATTCAATCAGTACCACTCTTTACGTTTTTTTGCATAGTCCAACGTTTCAATATCCAGCTGTAGAAGCGTTGAATTTGATAAAATGGAGAAAAGTGAAAAACCATGACCCTGGATTTTTCAACTCCCCGTCTAGCTTTACGTTACTACTAGGTAACTTTGTTGTCGTGTTAGATTTCATCAAAATCAGTTCGATAGTTAATGAGATCTATGATATTAAAGGTTTTATCTGTTTAGATAAATTATTTTTATACTCCAGCTACCGCGAATGCCTAAGGCCTAAACACCTATGGGGTACCGTGGTGTTATAGGGGTAAATAGAGAAAAGGGGGGACGCCACACGGACTCTGGCGAGGGCACACATATGTACATGCAACATTCTGGCTCCGCCTACGAGATCCACCTGGTGGTACTTCCGCGTTAGACACTCAGAGACCGTCTACAACCTACGGATAATCACAACATCCATAGTCAAGAGAAAAATTTCTCTGGGGACGGGCGCAGCGCACGGCAACTAATCAGGAGACCGAGGAGTCTACCACTGCGGTCACCGCTGCTGCCTAATCAACTTAGACCTTTATTTTACCTGATTTAAAAAGGTTTCCGTCAATACTAACTACCATAACACTATGTCGATTTAAGTAGGAGGCACCTTGAAAAGCCTCCTAATATTTATTTCTAAATCAGGCTGTATTTTTCGCTACCGGTCCTGATCTAGTATACGAATTCCTACATTTTCTCAAGAATTTAAAGTATTACTTCCTTGGTATGAAATAACATATTGCGTGTCGCGTGAGAGAATAATGCAACATGCAATTTGGTACAATCCCGGAGCGACAACATGAAATATGTCCCATTTGGGGTGAGTCACAAGTCACAGGGAAACCAGAGAAAAATTATGCTTCGCCTAGAGTGGAAGATATTTTTAAGCAGTTGTGCCTGTAATTTCCTGCTGACAAAACATATTTTACTTTGTGATTTCCTAGCAAACGTATAGAGATTTCAATTAGCAGACATGAAACTAAATCATGCCGAGAAAAACTAAAACCAGCCAGACGTGAGGGTATTGATGAAAAATCCGTGATGCTAACAACAAATGTAAGGGCACGTGACACGTTATTAACAATATCCAAAAGGAAGATTCTAACCAAAATGTCGTTATCATCGAAGCGGTACGGAAAGTTGGTGATTGAATAGTAGCTTCTAAGTTTATTAAACAATTAACTGTCAACAGAAACAATGTTTAATTAGATCAGAACTTGCTTGAAACAGGTATCACAGTTCTTTCTATGTACCTATATTTCGTCAGTTTCAATACATGACGTTTTACAATAAGTTATACATTAGGCAGTGTCCAAAACCAGTTGAGACCATCACTAACAAATAAGTGTTTTATAGCTTGGGAGAGTTCTTTGCATGTAAAACTGTTTTTAGTTTTTTTTTTGGTTTAAGGCGTATACATTTTCTGCACGTTTTGTTATTCAATGATAACTTGCATTTCCTTCTTAATAAATACTGTGCTTAATTCTTACCTTAACTATTATATTACGAATTGTGGGAAATAAAAACTCAAAATTCACTTTTTTCAAAACGTTTACTTGGGATTCCACATATTTTCAGAGTGACAATTTACAAGTTACTTTTCGACACCTAAAGATATACCATATAGCTGTGACATTTAGCTCAATAATAAGCACCTTGAAGACTTCAGAAAAGTACTACCTGAAACTAAATATCATGACCGTTAGCAGCTTGAAAATTTCTTTGCATATCACAGGTTAGCCACTCTATGTAATCGTAGTCTTGAAAGCCCTGTATCTCTAAATATTTTTGCTGGAAGCTACAGCTGCTAAAAAATCGCTGGAGACTTCTTCCCGTAAGGATTCTGCGAAGCCCAGTGAGATCAAAACTTAAAAATGAATATAACATAAGCGAACGTTAAAGAGCAGAAAATTAGTTTCCTAGAAATAATATCCGAGTTTCCGGAAAAAAGTAAGGAAAAAGCATCATAAATGCATTTTTAAAGATTTGCTTTATTTCTGGGAAAATATGCGCCCTCAGTCCATGTCACCCCATAAAAACCGAGGGAAAAATTGTTATACCGCGACAAGCATTGCTAATTAGCTAACGCAAACAAAACGCAGATTCAAATTTTATCTAGCATAATAAAAACACTGCCACCAGCTGCAAGTACACGTAACAGTCCAGTGTCATTGGTTTGAAGTTTAACTACTGTTCTGTGGCGATTTCGCCCTGGAAGTTATTTTGTGCTCTAGATTATCAAAATAGATAAGATATTCAATGAATAAAGAAAGGAAGCATTTTGGGAATCAAGATATTAATAAAGCGATGCACACATTTTATCCGATTGAAAATATTCCGTTTTATAGTTCTTAATAATATGCAGCTACTTCATCTCAAATTTTCAAACAAAATCGTGGTACATCCTTTCGTCTTTTGCTGTTTAAATACTTATTCCGTTTCTATTTATTTTATTATATAATTATATTATATTATTATCTTATATATTTGTAGAAGACACCGAATTCTCACGATATCCTTCAAACACACTCCCACCCTTCATATTTTTGGATATTCTATTCCACAGCTCATCTGCCAATCAGTGGGAATAGTATATTTTTTCACTATGTATCCTAGAAGCCTTCATTATTGACCTCAATGAAGTTGCCTTTCTCTTCCTGGGTTGATAATAATAACAAACATGAGCAAATTATGTCGTTTTGAATTGTGTTCTGTAAATTCGATTATGTCAGTTTGTCAACTGGAATATTTGAAAATAAACGGGAAATTGCTGACAGATACTGCTGGTCAAGTTGGTCAGTTCGACATCACGCTATTAGATATTTCAAAGTATTTAAAGTCTGAGTGTGGTAGGGCATGATCATCCATTTATGAATAGGGTAGTGTTATAAATTAAATGAAATTCAAGGTGTCACACGTAGAAGTGTAACGATAGATTATTAGAAAACTAGACTCAAGAAATTTATAAGACTTTTGATTTATAGTCTAGTAGAGGCAGGGGCGATTCCACTTATTTTTCTTTTCTAAAATAGTGGCGCTTCCAGCCGAACCGGAAGTTTAGGTCTTTTTACGGTTTTTTTCGGGTCGCAGCTAAACTCCAGCAACTACTTTCGTGCATCTATCTTCATCATACATACAAATACATACATACATCATATGCAATCGATCTTTATGTGCTGATGTTTGTTTGTGTAAACTAAGAGGCATGTCTTTTAGTTTTTACTCATTGCTATCTCATCATCATCTCATATCGATCTTCGATGTGAAACATACAGGTACAACTACACTGTCGACAGACATTAGATATATTTTTAGAAAAAAACGGTCTTTGGTCACCAATTTCATGTGTGTGTGTAAGAGTAAGTAACAGATACGTACAGATCAGCTTGCAAAGTGGGCAATTTGCTTCATGATAGCTGAGCTATGGGTATCCTGAATGCATTTCATGAATATAGTCCTCTAC